ATTTGAGCTATTTAACTTCCTCTTTATAGACATAAAAAAGACGCACTTTGTAGAATTTTTCACTCCCCATTACCACGTTTTCCAAAAAACACTGAAATCCATGGTGGTTTTCCAGTTAACAATTCCTCCCATCTGTACACACTGCATCTCCTCTCACTTCTCTCTCAAATGGAACAACACTGTAAACCACTATTTCTTCAGATTATGAAACCAGGTACACCAATGCAGAAAATTTGAGTAAGACAGAAAAACACAAAGATGCCAGAGGAAAACACTTCAAAGAGGGCTTGTTTCCTCCCAATTCTTTTCTTTCCATTTCTTTGTAAGTGGAGATTCCACTGTGTGTGCGTTTTTTGTGTCTGTTTTCTTGTTTTGCTTTGACATGTTATCTCAATACTTCCACCGACATTAAAATCGCTGATTCTGAGTCACAGGGCTGGGTGTTAAACTCGAGAAATGGATATCCAACCACTCTGATGGACACACAGTAAGGTTGTCTGACCATCTCAATGATAGATTAAAGTCTGCCACCTCTCCTACCACCTTCTCTGGGAGGGCAGCCCGGGCAGTGGCACCCAGCCAACTAGCAAAACACACCCAACAAAGAATCTGCCAGAAACGAGAAAACAGAAAAATCTAAAGGCAGAAAGCTTGAACGACAGGTTCTAATTACAGCCTTTAAACTATCGAATTTAGGGGCTCTGAAGTCAGGAGCAGAGGCCGAGGTTTGCCTCCTTTGCAGAGCGTTCAGTTAGAGTCACCCTACCACGAGGACACCGCAGAGAGAGAGGACCGCACAGCGAGGGTGTCGCCCCACAGGGAAGGGAACTCCACCGCGGGGACACACAACAAGGAAGGGGGACCCACCGCGGGAACACCCGCACAGACAGAAAAGCAGCTCCTACCGCGGGGACACCGCTCAGAGCTGGGCAATCTCCGGGTAGGGACACCCCACGCAGGGCCGCCCCACGGGAACGGGAACCCGAATGCAGGGCCGCCCACAGGGAAGCACAGCTTCCAAAGAGGTCACTGCAAATTGGCCCCGCTGCGCCTCACGCTGCGGGCGCCCCGGAAGGAAAGAGAAGGAGACCCGCGAGCTCCCCGGAGTTCCCTCCGCAGTCAGATGGAACGCGCCTCACCGTCCGCGCCGCCACAGCTACAGAAGCCCACACCGGAAGTGGGCAGTAACAAACACTTCCGTTTCCGGCGCCGGGCCGGAAGGGCGGAGGAGGGAGCCGCTGAGGGTCGGGTGGGAGCCAAGTGGACCTTCGCTGTGGACCCGGACTGGGGTCGCTGCCTACGAGCCGGAGGACGTCAGGACCGGTTGCCCGCGCTCCTCTGGGATTGCTCCAGGCCTCCACGTCTTCTCCTCTGTGTTCTTGGCAGGCCCCGAACGTCTGCCTAATCCTAACCCTCCGCCCCTTCCTCCTGGCCTCTCCAGTATTTCGTGTGTTCCACTTCCTCCTTCTTCCAACACGGAGTAGACCTTGCTATAGTCTGATGCTGTAGCCTGGTGCTCCCCAAGACCCGCGACTGGTGCAGGGCAGGCATGCAGTGAATGAATCAACAATATGGATAACAGGCGGTAACCTGCCACTAACTGCCACCCACCGACACCTGGAAACGAGGAGCGCAGACAGATCGGGACCCGGCAGGACAGCTGTGGGGTCCGAGCGGCGGCGGGGGGGGGCACCCTTCGGGGGCAGAAGGGTCCCCGAGTTACTGCTTTGGAACTGCGTTTTGCCTGGGCAAAAACAACAGGTGCTCAGCGACCAAGATTTCAGGGTTTGTTGTGGGGACTCTTCTTGCCTTTACATGCCCACTCAAGATATCGACTGCTGTGTTACCAACCGCTAGATAGTACTGCACTTCTGAAAATCAACCAGGATGGTACAGAATGAATGGTCTGAAGGTGGCAGGGAGGGGAGCTGGAGGAAAGGACCCCTACCCCAACACAACCACAAACTGCCCGCCTGCTGAAGATGGCCCCTAGCTTTAGGATTTCATCTTTACCTACTAACTTCTGAAAATGTAGCTACAAATTGAGCAATGGAGAAATGTAAAAAGTTAAAATTATGATTGAAATTAAAACTGTAAAGATGTTTTGAAACTAATGAAAACATGTTTGCCAAAATGAAGCATTAGGACTCTTACCCAAAATATGGCAGCATTTGACATTAAGAGACACCTACTATCAAGGTCTGGTTGGGTTTGAAGTAGGCCTCCCAGATAACTTCCTAAGTTCACCAGGCTGGTTGGAGATTAAATATTTTATTGAAGGATTTAAATTCTTTTTCATTACAACTCTTTAAAAAAGATTTAAAAATCTTTCTTGGGCCAGGGATTTGGCTCAGTGGTTCCACCTCCTGCCTCACAAGCACAAGGGCCAGAGTTTGATCCCCAGTACCAAAAAAAAAAAAAAAAACCTGATTTATTTTTGTTAGACTAAATAATGGGATAACCTCTTGTGCCACACCCAGGAATATTTGATAGATATAATGAGCATCCTTTTGAGCAGAGGAGGGAGGAGAGTCTGCTACCCTGGAGCAGGCTTCTGGAAATAAGTGAGGGCCCCAGGGCCCACCTGTGGGTTTTTATAGGGGAGGAGGTTTACGCTCCCAGCAGGTGGTGAGCAGACAGGTACCCTTGGATAAAGCCCATATACCCAAATGGGACATCCTCAGTGAAAGGCTCTTCCTAAAAACAAACAGCTTCTGCATCAGGGGTGATGCCAAGACTGGCCAGGCTCAGAGCTTAGATTCCCTGCAGAGCAAACCCAAGAGACTTCTTGGGGCCCTTCTCAACCCGGACAGAAGGTGGGTGCATCTGAAATCTGGGTCTACTGGGAGGACAGAGATCTTGCTGCAGCTTGATGTTTTCAGATGTGTACATTAAGGAAGAACTGTAGCTTCCAAATAAAGAAGGAAGAGCAAAGGCAATTCTGGACAGGGTAGAAGAGGACAGATCATATGTGACTGAAAGCACAGCTTAAGAAGTAGAAATATCCTCAGATAATTAGAACATAAATGGATTAAAAACAGTGAAATGGTTCTTTTTAAGATAACATCTGAAACATGAACAGAAGGGTTATGAATAGAGGGGGTTGACACACCAGCTGTGAGCCCTCTGGAAGACTGGGGGGCATAATATTATCCTAATGCATGGGTTTTGCTGGCAAAAGCCATGGCTAAAGACAATTATGAGGATAGAAACACATAAGCCATAAAGAAAAGGATAAAGAGTTTGCTATGCTGGGCCAGGATTTAGCTCTGTGGTTCTGGCGCCTGCCTCCCAAGCACAAAGACCCAAGTTTGATCCCTGGTACCAAGAAAAAAAAATTGCTATGCTGAAACTTTAAGCTGGGCATAGTGACATGCACCTGAAATCCCAGGACCCTGGGAAGCTGAGGCAGGAGGACCAAAAGTTCAAATCCAGGCTGAGTAACTTAGAAACAGTGGCACCCTGTTTCAAACAAATTTTTGAAGGGCTGGGGATATAGCTTAAGTGTAAAGGCCCTGGGCCCAATCCCCAGTACCACAATAGAAACAAAAATTAAATTATTGTATGATATAAGAAAAATACCCTTAAATGCAAGGACAAGCCACAGGCAGAAAGAAAACACTGGAATGTTTGTAACTGACCAGAGATTGCTATCTAGAATACAAAAACTCCTGCAAACTAACTCCCAAGGGCAAACAAGTACAGCAAGAATCCTGGCTCCTGATGTAGAAACCTGGGGCAGTTGGTGCCCCCATCAGCCCTGGCTTCAGCCCAGCCCCAGCTGGAGGTTTTGGTCCACAAATGAGGCCTCTACCTAGGCCTGCCGGGTCCTGTCCAGAACTGTGCCTCCTGCCTTCCACTTGTCCCTCCCACCCTCTGCCCTTCAGCTCCAGCCATCCCTATCTCCCCAATAAAAGCACTCCCTAGTACCCGGGCCACACCCACCTATATGCATTTCCTGTGGTTGGTAGTTATCTGCATCCCTTCCATCATGCTCATGCACACATGAGTGCACACATCACACAGGCACAGGTCTGGGCACATCACAGCTCTGACCCATCCTTGTCCTCCCAAATGTGTTCACACTGTACTCAGCAGGGACTCAACAGATGATGAGTGAATAAATGAACTACACATTTCACTTTGCAGAAGTCCAGAACCAGGTGTTGGGAGAGTGATGCCAAGGATGCAGCCCTGTAAGATTAGGCAGCAACTAGTATGCTGGGACCCTGAGCCCTGTCCTCCCAGTGCCTCACATGCACATGGTGGAGGCAATTGCTCTGTCAATGGAGATCAGAAGTGTCTCCCCATATCTACCCAGGGAAGCCAGGGAGATGGTGGGGTGGGCCTGTCTAGATATCCAGTCTCCACAGTCGATCTGGCCGTGGCAGGGGGACCTGGTGTCAGGGAGCTGGGCTGGCTTGACTGCGGATGAGAGGTCTGGGTGCAGACCTGGTGTGACATGAGTGGTTGGCTTGGCAGTGGCCGGAGAGGAGGGAATGTGTAGCCTCAGCTTCACTGGCTGCCGACAAGGGGCAACTTGACCAAAGGAAATGAAGGCTTCCCAGACCCTTGTCACCCATATCCTGCAACATGGTTCCCCAGAGTCTCTAGCTCTATTGCTCCTATGGGATAGTTCCAGTCTAGAGTGTCCTGAGGAGGGAAAGTGGCTAAAGGTGAGGTTCCCGCCCCCAGTGATCTTCAGCTGTAGCTGTTCTACTCTGATCACCACCTCACCTCTGCCTGCTGGTAAGGGGCTGCCTTAGACTAAATCCAACATGGCTCTGAGAAGATAAGGTGACTTCATGTGGAAAATCAGGTAGACATTCCCAGTCACACAAGTATATATGAACACGTGATTTATTTTCCATTAATTTTGCAAATTTAATACAAACCACAGTATAAGAAATACATCTCCATCTTCTTTTGAAAATAAGAAATATATCTGGAAAGAAGGCACTGAGAAAACAGCACAGAGAGCTGCTTTTATAATGTCTGCTTAAGACTTCACTAGGCCAGTCTGGACACTAATCTTCTTGTAGTAGCAACTGTAACATAAGATATAACTTGTATTTATTCTCCCTTTCATCCCCCTCCACATTATATTTGATTTTGACACTCAGCTATTTAGGCAGAAACTATACACCACAGGAAAGCGTTTGCCTGGAGTTAGTGCTAACAGTGACACCCTGAAGCAGAAGCTGCACCTTGCACACCCATCATCACCTGCCCACATGAGTTTTCAGGAGGCATACGGCACCTAACCACAAAGATGCTGAACCAGGGGATCTGCTGCCTGGATGCAGCCCTGGCCCTGTGTGTCCAAGGCCCGTGGTATGATACGGCATCCAAGCCTGCAGAACTGAGGTCCAGATGCCAGGCTCATTGTCCACCAAGCATGGCCTGCAGGCAGCTCACAGCTTGTCCTGGGTCTGCTGTCCTGTCAAGGGGCACAGTTGAGGCATATGTGAAAGGATGGGGCAGGGCAGGCAGAGTGGCCTGGCCAGCAGGGATCTCTGGGCTTTAGGAGTCTGCAGCTCTCCTTTGGTCACATACCTTTGGCAGACTTACAAGGATGTCTCTTAATTCCACCTTCCTGGTCTCAGGTTTTTTCAATTCCCAACACTCTAGACACGGTACACACGTGCACTGCCAGAATGCTACACATGTGCAGTACCAGATGTTACATGCATGCAGTGTTGGACATATTACATACATGCAGTGCTGTCTGCTGTACCCTCTGCCCCTCATCTGCTTTGTGCAGGGCGAGCCTGGGCAGCAGTACTTATGATGAGGCAGTCTGAGGACAGGGATTCAGCCTCACCCTCTGGAAAGGCAGCACAATGTCACACACTCTTGGCCATGCCTTCTGCGAGGGGCAGCAGGTCTGAATACATACAGAGCTCTCCATGGTCTAGTGTGGGACACTGGGTTAGAGCTGGGAAGGAGGATGATTCTGAAACCCACTCCTTAGCACTCATTCCATAAATGTCCAGAGAGCAGATATCAGATATATTTGCAAGGAAACTGGGGTGCAAGGAGATCCTGGGCCAGCAAGAAGGAAGGGAGGCAAGGCAGGTGCCAGCTTCCAGGACTGGGCCACCATCCCAACTTCTGCTTCAGGTGAGAGAGATGCTGGTGGAGGTGGAGGGCATGAGTGTGCATAACACTTATGACAGCACAGCTCCTGTGTCACTTTTGAAGCCTACTGTGGTCTGGGCAAAGATGTGAGAGTCCTTGAATGACCAGTCTCTTGAACCTGGGCCTGTGTGATCATCTTCAGCCCCCTCTTGGGCTCACCATGAGTCTTCCTGAAAGGCAGCTCAGGGGCTGGGCAGATAACATCCTACCAACCCAAGCCAATCTGTGACAAGGTGAACGTGTATCTGCCAAACAGGTTCCACAGTAAATGGGCTGATCCCTGGCCCCCCAAGCCACAGGGAGAGCTGTGCTGAAGAGATGACAGCCTTGCTACTGGATACCTCTGCTTGTGGGAGCCCTACACTAAGGAGGGCAAAGCCACCCATAGGGAGCTAGTTGTGCCACCAGCTGTAAGCTACCTCGAGGGTGAATGTGGCAACCTCCTTTTCTGAGGCATGCTTTAAATCCAAGTTTCCTACTGTCATAGTGGATTGCCTTCCACTACAATTTTTAAGGCATAGCAGACACCTGTCTGTCTAAGTCTTCATAGGGTGATGGTGAGGTCCCCACTGGAAAGCACTGTGGTCCCAGCCACTTGATCTCTTCTCTGTGTCTGCTGCCTGATGCTGTGAGCCTCACTGCATGATGTGTCGGGAACAAAGACACACCAGAGCTGTTCATAGGCCATGGGAAACAAGGAACAGGTATTACCCTGTCCACCTCTATGCTGAGGGTGGCCTCAAACTGACTGGGAGCACTGTAGGGAGGGACAGGAGCTGGGGTGGCACCCTTGTCCCACTGGAACTTTTTAGGTTGCACCATGGTGGACTCAATGCCAGCTTCCCTTATGGGGTTCTCTTCCTGGTTATGCTGTGCTGCCATCTGGCATCCCTTGGCTGCCATATGGCACAGGTGGGGGTGGCAGAGAGCTCAGAAGCCAGCAACTTCCTCAGGACAGGGCTTGTTGCCCTTTGGGCACTGGATACTGTTGGCTGCTTCCTTAATCATTTTAATTCTTCAAGGAAATGCTGTCCTACTTGAATAGGCTGTATGTAAGAACTTTCATGATATCAAGTTCAGAATGCTTGTGCCCCCACATAGGCTCAGTCACCGGTTGCACTCCTGAAATTGCAAAGGGTGTCACTAGATCATGTCCCCTGTCGAGGGGCTGGGAACCCAGGTCTGAGATGGCTGCAGGTGTTTCCAGGAGGATGTGGCAGTAGCTCTACAGCATAAAAGGAGCCTCGGGGGCACTGGGTGGAATCCTCACAGCAGAAGCACTTTTGGGGAAGACTCCAGGTACAGCACCCTGGCCAGTTGCAGCCCACGGGGGTGAGTCTAGGGGCTCACGCTTGACCACTGGTGTGACTTCTGGTGCCCTGCACTCACTGTGGCCCAGGGTGCAGAAGTGGCGGGACGACCCCAGCTCCAGACAGGAGTTGTGTGCAGGGCAAGACGGGGCCAGCTCCTGGTAGGGCCCAGCAGTGACCTTACTCTGAGGGTGGGCTGCAAGCACACCCACACTGAGGGGCTGGCTGTAGACCTGGTGCCTGCACTCTGGCTCTGCTTTCAGGTGCATCCTGGTGGGGAAAGTGACCAGATGTCTCTTGGTGATATCACTGGCTCCCAGCCACACTTGGCTAGGGGTGCAGTCTTCTGCTATGTCCTCCGACTCCGAGTCATTTTCCATCTTTATTGGTACCTCCAGTGCCAGCAGGGGATTGCATGTGGCACCAGGGGGCATCGGCAGGCCAGCAGGCTTTGAGTCCTCTGTGCAGTAGCCTCCAGAGGTGAAACGCTGTGCTCTGGTGCGGTAAGTGGGTAGGGGCGCCTGGCCCTGATAGACATCCCGCCAGGCTCTGCTCATCCGGCCACAGTAGGTGCTGGGGACATGGCCTGGAGGATTTCTGAAGGTAGCCAGGCTGCTGGCACTGAACATGCCCTCAGTGCCTGGGTGAGGCAGGCAGGAGCCTGGGGATGCTGCACACATGGAAAGGGGCTCACTCCTGCCCGGCAGCGGCTTCAGCTTGGTGCCACCATCCTGCTCACACTTTTCTGTCGTCCAGTTCTGGAATCTTCCGGGTGCCGGTGTGTCTGGACGGCAATTGTACACATGCATCTCCCTCCGTGTCCTCCCTCCTGTGGAGCCATTCAGCACCCTCTCCTGTTCTGTTTCATCTCTGTCCCTGCAGAGTGATGGATGTAGGACAGCAAGACTGAGACATGGTAAGGAGCAAGGGTAACACTGGCTAAATGTGAGCCAGGCCAATGCCTCAATGCCCCTTTCAGCTCCTGGAAATCTTTGAGGCAGTGCAGAACCACCTCTCACTACACCTTCTCCCTCTTACCCCCTCAACCAGTGCCTGGTGGGGATCAGAGGGCTGGGGGTTGCAGGAAGAAGCCATTTCTCAGGGAGGCCTCAGACATAACCAATGCTGTTTTGCCCAAACACAAACCAACACAATACTGTGTGCATCAGATTGTCTCCTCTGTGAGGAGACCCTGGCCAGGGCAACGTGCAGCATCCAATCTGGGAAGGGTATCAGCTAGTCAGGACAGGGCACACACGGCTTGGGGTGGGGCAGGGAGGTGGCCTGCAGGAGGGACAGAGACTACAGATGCTGTCCAGGCTGGGACAGCAGTGCAGCACTGTTAGGAATCCAGGCCCTATCCTCAAGGTAGGCTCATGGTGACTCCACCAAGGGATAAGTAGCCTGGTACCACTTACCTTGTTGCCCCCTTGGAATCCAGGATGAGGTCTATGCCACCTCTGAAGCAGTGGCACCGAGCCCTGGCTGGGACCCGGGCCCAGTGGCAGGCATCTGTTTGTGCCCTGAATGCTGAGATGCTATTTTCACCATTGGTCCTTCCTGTTAGGGTTAAGAGGAGAGAAAGCAATCACCCTATGATTGGAGGAGTCAAGCTGTTCTCAGCTTGAAGAGGACCTGGGTGACAGGAACAGGTGCTGTCCTCCGTGGGATGTACCTTGTGACCTTCCACATGGTATTTCCTTGGAATACTCAGGGTTACTGCAGGGTATAGGAAGAGGGGACAGAGAGGAGGTCTCTGAGGAACAAAAGCCCATTTTATTCATTTAGAAAAAATGAGATTTAGAACTTTAAACAGTACCTGCTAAGTAGCTGGGTTTTCTGTGAAGTTCTGGTTCACACAGACTCATGGTCGCTTTTGCCCTATAAAGAACAGATCATAGCCAAATAATTGATGGAAGGGATTAACAATGGCTGGCATCCCGGGCCTGTCTGCCTGAATGGCAAAGATAGAAACAGCAGCTCACACTTTTCAAGTCTTTACAGCTTAAAAGTCTTGGTTACAGATGGCTGAAAATTCTTAATCATGTCACTTTGTGGGCCAATAAAATGCAAGAGAATTTGTTTCAGAGTGTAGATATGCATATAAGATGGGTTTTAGAGCTCATATATTTTCTTGGACAGCCAAAACAAGACAGCCTGTTCTTATATTCTAGAAAGTAACTATGAAAGACAAACACTTCCCAGGGAAATGTGCCTGTGTTACACAGATTATAATCTTGAATCATTCTTATGTCTTCGACTTTATTTTGTAAGAACTAAAAGGTGGCTTGTCTGGTGCTGCCCTGCTAGAGGTGCCAAAGTTGGGGTTCACTCCCCATCCACTTGGCTGACCTCTCCATGAGGGGTCTCTGCAGAGAGACCAGAGGCCTCTTGGGGAATGTGTGGCGAAGTCTCATTCACGCCGTATGTGTCTACAGACAGTCACAAAATTGTGGCAAGGACTGATTTGGGTTGTTTTGTTTGTTTGTTTGTTTGTTAGGGGATTTTTTTTTCTTTTTTCTTTTTTGGTATCAGAAATCAAATCCAGAGCCTTGTACATGCTAGGGAGGTGCTGCACCACTAATCTATGTCTCCAGAACACGAATCAGGCTTAGAAAGAAATTTTAGCAAGTAGCAAAAGCATGCAGCAGGCTCCTGGAGTAAAGAGAACAGCAGCCTGTGACAAAGCCAGCAAGTGACAATGTGCTTCGCACAACCACTGTGGGAGCTTCCAGTGGGAGCTTCGGCCTCCAGCTTGACCCCATGTCACTACACTCAGGGTAGACGACCAACCGTGGGGTGCATGCTGGAGATCAGTGTTAAACCTGTGTCAGAGCAGGTGATGTTCTCTACCCTGGGGTGAGGTGGGGTCCATACTCTCTGTCCTCCTGACTCCTATTTCCACATCTGCCTGCACAGCTGGGGCCCTCCCAAAGCCTGGGCAGGCAGGACAGGCATCCAGTGCAGTATGACGAACAACCTGCACTGCACCACCTGGGCCCCAGGGTGACCATTGGCACTTCCTACCTGGGCCCCACTGGAGAAGGCTGCTTAGAACTCCCCTCAGCTTGATTTTAGGGCAGTAAAAATATACAGGAAGCAGAAGCCTCACTGGATAAAAACAGCCAAATCAGCTTTAAAATCAGAAGATTCAGTGAGTAAAGGCGCAGGGCATCAAGGGCACTGCGCAGGGCCCACCTGGCAGCTGCAGAGTCCCACGCCCTAGCCTCCCCCTGAGCTCCACATTGGGTGGGGTCCACCTGGCAGGCACGAAGCTGGCCATTTATCTTTGTACCTTCTTCCCTTACAGTTGTTTTTCCTTTCATATGTTGTGTCTTTAAAAATAGAAATTTGATTCTAGAATGTCCTGCAGTCTGCTCTTCTCGGCATTCTGACTCCAGCTCCACCCAGCACGCAACCAGAGAGGCAGTAAGGGCAGAGGGATGAATACCCGCAAGAATAAGGAGGGTGAGGAGAGCAGCACCACAGAGGGAGCCCTCACATGGCCCTGCGGTCTACACAGAGCTTAGGGAAGGTAAAGGTGAGTTGTGGTGTGGGAGGGGTGGACTTCCACCCCCGGGGAACTTCCAGCATCATAGGGGCACTCCTACAGCAGGGCTATCGGGACAGCAGGCGTGTGATAGGTCTGGCATCAAGTGCCTTCCACGGAGGAGGGCAGAAGCAGGCAGGTCGAAGTAGTCTATGCAGAGGGAGGGGAGCCAGGCTGAGCCCTCAGGCCTGACCCAGGCTTGAATATGACAAAAGAGACTTAATGTTGGAGAGTTGAGAGCTGCAGGTGGAACCAAAAGCCAAAGCAAAGCCCAGCACAGATAGGTCCAATAGCAGCCAGAGTTTAAGGGAACAGGGCAATCTGCTGCCAGTGACAGCATTACTAAAGATAGAATGCTCTGAAGAAAGGAGGAGACAATTGCATACAGGCTGCATTGCTGGCCTGTTGTGAATGTTCCTGCAAAGTTATCTGGATTGAGATGTATCTGGAAATCATGATCAGAGTGACTGTGCAGCCAGGGGAAGGGCAGGGGTTACAGGATTTGTGTCAGTAGTGCAGGAAGTCTGCTAGTGCTCCTCGGAACGCCTTGTCTGGACTGTGTGGTGGCAAGTCCCCTCCCGGGGGTCTCTGCAACCTTGAGAAGTTGTGGGTGGACTGCAGTAGATTCAAGTCCAGCTTAGCTCACCGAGTTATTGGCCTGTGTGGTGGGCGTGGTCTACCTGTCAGGTGGGGCTTGGAGGCACTGTACCAATGGGGCCCAGACATACTAGGGTCAGGAAGGAACAGCAGGCTGAGTGCCACCTCTTACAACGGCCCCTCAAGGTGCAGCTGCCTCTCTGGAAACCGAGTAGGTGGGGGAGGTGGCTCAGGGCACACGGGTACAAAGGCTCCAGGATGCCTTCAACTCCTGCTTACCTTGTGTCCGTCATGGCTGCCACCTCTGCCCGGTGCTTCGCCCTCAGATATGCACTCTTCATTTTCGTCTCCGCTGCGGAGGGCAGGAGGACCGGCACCACAGTGCAGAACAGTGAGAGCCGTGGGGGCAGGGCCGTTCCCGACGGCGCCTTCTTCTTCTGCCCCAACAAGAATCTTAGTTTTCCTTGAAACTGCATCGTCTGACATTTTAAAGACAGAAAGCTGTGTTCGTGGAATGAACTGGAGACTTGGGGAGGATGCAGAACTCAGGATGTGAGGTGACAAACTGCAGAGACAGACTCGCAGAGAGGGCTCCCATCCTGAGCCCTCAGGAGACACTAGACTTGCTCTGTGCTCCATTCTGCAAGCACGACCTCAGGACTACCCAGCCTCTTCCACATTCCACCCATCGAATACACAGTCTTCCTTCCCTCTCTTCCTCCATCCCATGAATCTCCCATCTTTCCATCCTTCCTTACAGCTTTCTGCCCACCCCTCTACCCCTCTTCCATGGGTTAATTGAGGGAACAAACATTTGTAAGCCCGACTAAGCGTCAGTCACATACCTTGTATGGGGGAACGCAAGGCAATGGTGTGCTAGGAATATCCAGCTCTTCAGGGGGAAAAATCCCAGGTTTACATATTTGCCGGATTTTAAAGTAAATATTCATGCCGCAGCTGGTTTCAAACTATCGGCCTAATATCAATCAAATGTCAAAATTTCTGCAGTCCTAAGAGTGGGGTCTGTGGGCAGCATGAGGTGCTGCTCAGGCCTGAGTGGGGTCCCATACCCTGAATCCTGGCAGAGGGCAAACTGAAAGGTACAGGTTGGTTTTAAGTATTTCATCTGCCTCACCTCCTAGCCTTGCAGTGGTCTTCTGTATCCACTAACTCACCACCCTCATGCAGCCTGGTGGTTGCCAGGCCCCATGCCGGTAGCTTGTGCAGGTGGAGCCTGGACACAGGGTCACCTCCACCCTAGGGCACACTGCATTTGATGCTGGCTGCCTTGTGGCTAAGCCAGGTCCCTATGAAGGATGCTGCTCACTCACCAGAAAACCGGAGGTGCTATCCAGCAGGCAGCGTACGCGGCAGATGAAGCAACGTGTCAGGAAGGCTGAGAACTCAGTGGGTGAGCCCATGCCCCCTTCCTGGGCCCTGAGCAACCTCCCCAGGATCGTGTCGTCTGCTTCCAAGGCAGTGCAGGAGTGTGGCACGGAGGCAGAGGCCATGACCGAGAGAGAGCCATAAAGACATCAACAATCTAGTGGACTGTGTCACAGCCAGCACGAGGTTCACAACACACACCACCCCAGCTGCATGGCTCGCATCACTGCACAAGCCTTTGCTGCCCATGTGCTCTGGGGGATTTACCTCCACTGACCCCTTCCCTTAAAGGCACGGAGTTTCAGTTTTGCTAGTTTGAGCTTCATGAAATGATAGGGATGCGGGCACCGGTGCTGGAATTTTGCAATCAACTTGCTAAGGTGAATGAATCGTGCAGCTACACGAGGCTGTGGTGGAAACTTCCCTGTGAGTTATTCAGAGCCCATGGATGTGTGTGGAAACACCAGAGAATGTTCCTGTGCACAGGACTGCCAGGCTGATGTTGTTCCCCAGCATGAACTTGTCTGTCCCTTCTGTGCTCACTCGCGTCTGTTGCTTACTAGGAGTTTGATGCCTCTTGAACTCAGGACAAACAAAAGCTTGGAGGGGAAGCGGTTCCCTGGAGTCATGTGCCCAACTGGCACCATGCTGTCAGGACTCTGGTACTTCTGGATTGGCAGAGAGGTATCCTGGTAGATAGGGTCCCGAAAAGAGCTTGGACACCAAGATACAAGTGCAGCAGCTCTAGGAAGGGCCAGAATCTGGGTCTCAAACACATGCTTGCCCCCCAACGTCACTGTGGTAAAGGCTGATCCCTGGCCCACAGCCTGCTGGAAGGCAGCAGAGATTAGAGATGTGGGGCCTTGTGAAAGGTCTGATCCCTGGGGTCAGTACCCAAAGGGACCACAGAGGATTGTGGGCCCTGCCCGCTCTGCTTCCTTTCTGTGCATCCTGGCCATGAAGGCAATGGTTTTGAATTGCCAGGCCCTCCTGTCCCATCAGAATCCTAGAAGCAATGCTTCTCCCAAAACCATGGGCTGAAAACACTCAAACTGTGAGCCAAAATAATACTTTCCTCTTCATAAATACATTATTTGGGGTATTTATCACAGTGATAGGGGACTGAAACATGAGGATCTGCACAAAACACCATGGGAAGGACCAGCTGCAGGACGTGGGGGAGGGTGGCTCTGCAGAAAGTGAAATTCAATGTGGAAGCCAACATGGATGGCAAAGGACAGCCAGGGTATCCAGGGCATGCACAGAGCTCAAGACACACTAACCCACCTGCCTCCATGTGTGGGGGCTGTGCACACCCCGCCTGTTGTGGGTCCATGGCCCAGTGGAGCTGCCGGCAGAAGTCCTGGCGGTCATCCACATGGATGTAGTCATAAATGTTCTGGTGCATTACGTCTGTCTGCAATATCAAAACAGTTGTTATAGCCTCACCCTGAATTTTCACACTCATTCTAGCAATTATAAAGTACAGCACTTCCACATCCCTCTGTCAAAGCAAGTCACGCCTGTGGAGAATTCCATGGGAAAGGCCTTGAGGCCAACACCACACCAGTGGAGACATGCTTCCCTGGACCTCACCAGCCCAGTGCCAGATGTATCCCAGTGGCCCCTGGCTGGGTGCCCACTCCAGGCTAAATTAGCGGCTTAGAAGCAGGTCGTCCGAGCACAGACACATTGGCCAAGATGTCCACCTTGCTAAATCACCTCCAGCTTATGGCACCTGTATGTTCACCACTGTGTGTCTTATGTCCCCTGTGACTTCCCGTTGTCTGGAACCAGGCTCAACCTACCAGAGTCTGAGATGCTTTGGGGACCTGCTAGTTTCTAAACCTCTCTCTGGTCCTCTGTTGTCCTCCTACCTCTTCTGGACAGCCTGGGCACGAGGTGACACTGACCCCCACAGGCACGGGGCTCTTGTTGGGAGACTAGTGTGGTAGTTGAAACCTAGACTGTAGCTATGAAAACTGACTTTGGGGGCCTCAGCTCTTCTGTTGTGGTACAATGTTCTCAGAAGGTGTGGGTAAATCAGGAGAGCCCACACAGGTCTCCTCTGCCCTCCACCTTCTCTAATGAAGAACAAGGCTCCTTCCTGCATTCAGAACCTGGACAAACACCTACCAGGGACAGTTGGAGCACTGTGAGACTGGACTGCTTCAGAACTTGCCCACTGAGAGTTTAAACTCTTCTGAACTGGATCCTTATGGGAGCTCAAAGGTTCTTTCTGGCTGGAGGAAAAGTCCCTTACCAATCACAACCTCATAAAAAGCTTCCCTTTTGAGGGAAGAACGTGCACATGTTATGCATGTACTCATTGTGGGTGAGATCTACCATCTTTTCCAGCATGCTCATTATTCCTAGATGAGCCCCATGGGGTCCTAGAGCATTCATTAAACAAGATGTACCTCAGGGAGGAGGCAAAGCGATGCAGACTTGGGCTTGGACTTCATCACCTGGCATCCTCAGTCTAAGGGAAAGTTCCTGTATGGCTGTATCTAGATGCCCCCCAAAGCTTCAGGCAGTCCTAGGTGGGGCTTTTTGGAGCTGGCTGGGTCTAGAATATGTGATCCTGGATTAAGAGTGTCCCATCCTGGGTGTGGGTGGCACTAATCAATATGCTTACAGCCTGGATAGAATATAAAGGCTGCTTCCGTTGTTTTGTTGCTGCTGCGTCTGCTGCTGTTTGCTACTCTGCTGCCTTCTGCTTGCCATGAGTTGTTTCTCCTCTGTGACGCCCCTCTGCCCTGCCATACTGCTTAGGAGCCAGCCGACTATGGACTGAAACCTCTACAAACTAAGCCAAAATAAACCTTTCCTCCTTTAACTATGGATTTTGGGTATTTTGTTTCAGCAATGAAAAAAGTAAGTAAGACAGTTCCCCTAAAAAGAAGAGTAAGGACTGGGGATTTAGCTCAGTGGTTCCACCGCCAGCCTCACAAGCCCAAGGTTCCGAGTTCAATCCCTGGTACCAAAAACAACAACAACAAAAGAAGAGTCAAGAGGGAGCCAGGAGGGGCAGAGAGGGGCTTGATACCTGCCATCCTCAGTCAGTGTTGCAGAGGCCCTTATGGCAGAAGTGGACACACCTCAGCTCACCTGGATTCTTAATGAACTTCTGTGGCTAAAGTAGGACATAGAAGCTGTGCCCTACACACCACATGCAGCTTCTGACCAGGATGCAACCACCAATCAGGGCACAAATGTTGCACCAAATAGCAAGCCATAATCCCCACAGCAGGCTGGTATGCCAATGGGACACTGCACTCTTTGGTGTCTGTCCCACCCAATATCACAGCCATGAGACTGGCCCATGTGTAGCTGCAGTGTCCCATTCCCACGTGGTGGTATTTTGCTGCCACTACAGTGCTTCAGTGCTGCTCATTCTCCAGCTGGTGGGTATGGTTGTCTTCCATGGGGCATTCTGGACACAACTGGGTATCCATGACTGGACACAACTGGGTGGCTGCTGGGGCAGGGGAAGGGTGCACATCAGTGGTTCACCTCCGGGTTGGTGCAGGCGCTGGCTCTGTTGTGGCAGCATTACCACTGCTCCCCATGCATACCAACACTTGGCATTTCAGCCCTCTTGCTGGGTGTGCAGTGACATCTCATTGTGGCTTTAATTTGCACGTCAGAAGAATGAGGTCTGTCCATGCGTTTGGTCTTGGGACGTTCATGTGTGTGCACGTGTACACTGTGTGCTTGCTGCTGGATTACCATCCACATAGATCGCACTGAGCTACCCAATCATGTGTTCCTATATGCACTCTGATGAGGATGTCTCCCACTGCCTAGCAGCCTGCCCATTTCCTCACAGACATTGGAATTCACTCTGCCATCTCCTAGAAACTTCTTTCATCTGCCTGATGGTTACTCTAGTATGGTGTGAGGTAGGAGACAAGATTCCTTTTTTCCCATTTGGATTCAGTTTTCTAGCATCATTTGAAATGATGCTATGAAATGAGCATATTTCCCCTCTCCCAGCAATGGGTTGGCCGTGAATCTGGCCCAATGGCTCTGGACATCTGACTGCACGGTCCATCCAGCCTCAAGCCCCAAGTCTCAGGAAGCTGTGCTTCTGGCAGCAGCACAGGATCCCAACAGTCACCACCGGCTTTCCCTTCCTCCTTTTTCCGGATGGTCTTGGATCTTCTTAGTCTCTGCACTTCATGGAAGCTTTAGAATAAGTTTTCCAAATTGCTCAGTTTTTGTTATAATTTCACTAACTCTGTAATTTGATTTGGAAAAAACTGTCATCTTTACAATTATATTGAGGCTCTCAATTCATGAATATAATACATCTCTCGATGTGTCTGGACTGGCCTTAATTTCTTTTAAAATAATGCTTTTTTGTGCATGTTCTATATGTCGTTTGGTAGATTTGTTCTTTGCGATGTGGGGGTTTTAATTCTGTCTGGGCAGCTTGTTTCTCTGTGTTTTGGTTTAGGGCCATGGGGTGAGCCCTGAGTAGCGCAATTGTGATGCTTGAGTGAGGTAGGAGGCTGGCATTGTCACTTGTGCTGCTGGCTCCCAGTGCTTGTCCCCACAAGCTTGACCCACAGCTTGGCAGAACCATGGCAGGGCTGTGTGACCCGAGAGCCCACAGTGTCCTGGAGGGCCTCATTCTTGTTCCCATACCCTCACTAGTTATGAAATGGATCCACCTAGAGGTATGTTGTCTGGCAGAGGGCAGAGCAAAACCAGAAAATCTATTTTTAAGGCAAATTTGAAGACGGTGAAATGTGAAAGCCTGAGGTTCAGGAAACAAAGTTCTGTGTTTCAATGACTAGCATGGCCTGTCTGACAGCCTCACATCCTTCTTCATCTCCTGTTTCCACCAAGGGATGTCAAAAGAAGGAATAAGCAGGTAGGAGGATGGGAAACGTGAAGGGGAGTCAGAGTTGGAGGACAGCTCCTCAGATGGCAATACAAACTCTGCTTTCATCCAGTGATTTCAGTCTTCATTTCAGCTTTGAACCACCATCTGTGTGTATCCCAGAATGAAAGTCTTCCTGGTTTAACCCATGGAACATTATAGCAGTCATCATTTTTACCCTTGTACAAAGTGTGCACCCATCTACTCTCAGGGCTGCAGGGTCACAACTGCTCAGCCATGAGCTAGGGCAGTCTCACTGGTTCACTCAGAGCTGGCATGGGTGACTGTGAAGGCACAAGCAGCTTCCTGAGTAACTGTCAGGGTGACTACAACACCCCTGGTTGCCCCGGGTTGCCAAAGCAAAGACATGGACAGTATGCTTGGCTGCAAGGGGAAGGAACTGGCTCCTGACTTTCTGCAAAGAGTCAGAAAGGAAAAGCTCACAAGAACACAGCTACTGTAACACTTTCCTGAAATGTCTGTATAAACTCAAGGCAAGCCCTGGTTTAATGGCACTTGAAAACAAATTATTTACACTAAAAGCAAAACTGTTTTTCACTTCTAATTCTTGGGGGAAGTAACTAACCAAGCTCCAAGAAAACAAAAGAGCCAGAGAGCAAGTTCTGACCCACAGCCAGAGCCCCAACACACAACACCTGCCTCTGTCCCCATCCTCCACAGCAAGGCCACCACTTTTGGCTAAAGTAAGAAGCTCTGCCTGTGTAAGGATCCTGAGCAACTCAGCAGACACAGGTGGGAACTGAGTAACTCTGAGCAGGCAGAACGCAGCCCCTGCAGATGAAACCACAGAGTCTGCATATAGCACTGTCTATGGGAGCCCACTCATATCACTGTGTCATATCTGCAACTGTCCACATCCCCAAGCTCTGCACTATCACAGGCACCAGGACCGCACAGCAAGAGGGGTCATCAAGCCTCTGCAAATAGCTGCTTTCTGTTCTTCCCTGTTCTCCACGGTGTAAGTGAAGTCCATGATTCCCATACAGGAAGTAGAAACGCCTCATCATGGCTGACCCTGGGATAGGGGTCATCTCAGGACTGAGGGACACAGCACTAACATTCAAGGTTCCCACCAGCAGGGACACATCACTAACAGCAGACCTGAGGTACCAAGCCATCCAGAGAAAGGAGGGGATACCTTTCCCAGGCACCATGAGTGCTTTCTTCCCACGCAGCCCTAGCAGCAGCTGGGGAGGCAGACAGCACACTGTGTACCATGTGGACAGGAAGTGAGGCACAGTGCGGTGCAATGATTGCAAAGATGGCAGCACCCAGCCTGCTGCCTTGTGCATCCTCGAAAGAGCAGTGGCTAGAGCCCTGGAGCTGGGTCAATGGCCAGTGTTCACGCTGCCTTCACAAGCTGTCCCCTCCAGTCCTCCACTCCACCTCCATGGCTGATCCAGGACTGGTGCTGAGCTGTGTCTAGAGGACAGGGTGAGAGGGTGCCAAGGCGCAAACAAGGGTATATGTACAACTCTACACACAGACTCCTAAGACAGAGGACAGGACAGTTGTGCGTTGTGGCAAGGTCAAGGTCCTGGAGTCCCTGGGATTTGCAGGGACTGGACCTTAAACCTAGAGGCAGAAGTAAGGCATTGCACAGCTAGTTCAGTTCTGGAAAACTACTCAAAATTGTAGTTTTCTTGGAAATTAGATAAAACACTATGCTGGCCTCAGGCAGAATTTTAACAATGTGTCAGAGATCTACACCTTCAGATCTTGGCTTCCTCTGCCTTTGGCGCTGCAGCCCTTGGCTTTCTGCCTGAACATGAGGTTTCAGTTGTAGTCACTCTATGTATTACCTTGCTGCCCCACACTTCCCTGCTGCGTGTCTATCCCAGCTCCAGAAGCATATGCCCTCTGCTGGCAGCAACTGGGGCAGTGGGGCGGGGGCCTGCTCCTGTGACTCAGTAGGTCAGGATACTCCAGGGCCCATTGTGCTATGGATGGGGGTGTCACACTCGGGGCTGCTTCCCTGTAGCTCTCTTGACTTCCACCAAGGGTGAATCCCAGCAAGCCTGGAGGGCAGCTCAGTGACCTCCACCACCAAGTGTCATGGCCTCACCTGCACCCAGAAGGGTCTGATGCTCAGCCTTAGGAGTCTCCAGGAGGGCCCCTTGAGTGCCTCTGCTCCTCCAAGTGCTGTTGTGCCCTTTGTGGCTTTCTTTACCCTTACCGATAAATCCTTGACTCTAGTCACAAGTTCTCATATTAAACTGTGCAATGACTGCACTCTAAACCAATCCTGACTAATATCCCATCTTCTTTATTTCCAAAGTTCTATTTGTTCTTTTTTTCATTATATGCTGTCCTTTCTTTATACTACCTTGTATTATTTCTAATATATTTATTTCCTAGCTTCTTTCAGAGTGTGTTGTTCTGAGCTCTTCTGGGAGGTGTCAAACAGGTCGTTCTGTCTGCGGGCTTCTGCTTGCTGATCATGTGTGATCTGTGGATCGCAAGATCAGCTTCAGAGGAGGCGTGTTGGTGATGGTTGCCTGAGTGTAGCACGAGGCCTGGGTTCTGAGTTCTTCTGGCCAGACCAGGAAGCCCTCCCTAACTCCTGGTGCAGGCTTGGATTCTACAGTTCACCTTTTTATTTCCTACCAAAGACTTCTTTTTCCTTCTAGAAACCAAGCAGAAACAAATTCCTTACTTCTTTCTGGGCCTTGGATAAGTCTTCTTATACCTTTCTGGGTGGGGTCATCCTTCCAAGTCCCAGTGTTTGAGGAGTCTCAATGCTAGCTCTCGGCCCCAAAGCCTGAATGATATATCCAACCTGGGCTGGCCTGGCAGCATCGTAAATGAACCACCTGCACATCAGTGAGGGCACTGCTGGAACAAATTGTGTCCTGATGTGCCAAGTGTCTGCAGCTAGAGATAGTGCTGCAACAGCTCCCTGGGTGGGAAACCAAGGACAGCCAGCCTGCTAGAAGTGGCCAACACTGTCATGCCTCCCACAAAGACCAGGAGGTGGGCTACCCCGGACAGAGCAAGCTTAGTGACATGGAAAGCTTCGTTTTAGATGTTTCTTAAACCTTCAAGACAAGAAACATTTGCAAAGGTAACAGATCCAGCATTTAACAGACTAAAAGCCCAATTTTGCCTTGTTTACCTGGTGGAAGCCCAGATAGTCCACAATCGTGGCCGATGCGTAAAATATCATCCCTTCTGCACTCACAACCAGAGCGAAGCCATTGAGAGACTAGAAGAAACAAGAAAACTGAAAATTGTCTTGCCCATAAAGGAAAAGAAAATGCAAAGTTTCTGTGTAAGTTTTCTACCAGTCTTCCCGTTTCACTGTCCACATTCATGCAATGCACCCTCCTGACTTTTTATTACCTTTTTGTAATAAGTCTCCATTAATAGGTAGCCAGAAGTTGGCTGTGGCTCATAAACCTAGACTTGCCTCTCTTTTCTTTACTTTTATTTTTTATAGGATTATTTTATAATATTCACCCAAAATGTCAAATTCAGAGGAGTGTAAGAGATTGGCTTTCTTTTCTTTTAATGCGTGCTTAATGACATAAAACAACATCACAATGACACAATGTGGAACACAAAGAAAAGCAGGGAACTTCCATTTCACTCTCTATGACCTTCCTTCCCTTGTCCTCCTTTTGCACACTGTCCTGGAACACTTTTTGAATTTTCTAGAAGCTTTTATCAAAAAAATTTTTAAACTTGGCTGGGCGTCATGGCGCACACCTGTAATCCCAGAACTCGGGAGGCTGAGTCAGGAGAATCGCTGTGAGTACGAGAACAGCCTGGGCTACATAGTGAGTTCCAGGGCAGTCTCAACTACATAGTGAGACCCTGTCTCAAAAATAAATACATAAATAAATACAAATCAAACTCTCCCCATCCTCTGGTGGCTTCCCAGAACCACCATCCATCAGTGAAGATGCACAGTGAAGAGACAGCAGGGCTACCTAGCACGTGGGCCATCCTCCAGCCCCCACCATCTCTCCCACCCATCACTTCTCTGTCAGCTGCCTCTACCTACCTTCTATATACCCTATCTCTCCATCTACCCGCTATCCGTGCACCCTCGAGTCACTGCCATTGAGATAACAAGAGAACCTCACTCATCTCAAATCACCGGAGACTTCACTGGGCAGTGCAGAAGCTGGGGTGAGAGGGTCGGCTGCCTGCACAGCAGCATTCACATTGCAGTTTGAACCCTTGAAGCAGGGACATTCAGAGACCATCACTTCCATGAGCAAATGCAATCGGCAATATATCATAGCAGTCATTTCTGTAATTCTTGAACATACTAGATACTCCCCGCTTCTTAAAAATATTCACCAATTTGTCCCAAATATATTTGTAATATGTAACAAATACATTCATCTTGGTGCTGGGGATTTAGCTCAGAGGTTCAGTGGCGTGCCTTGCAAGCGCAAGGACCCGAGTTCAATCCCCGGTACCAAAAAAAAAAAGAAAGAAAGAAAAAAAAGAAAGTATCTTAAATTTTAATCTCTCCTCGGCCTTTTGGCTAAGATCAAGTGTAGCATCTTGGGGACTGGTACACATATTATATTGCATGGTTATCATTTATACAGCCCCCTACCCTCTTATCTCCTCCTGCCCCAATTTATCAATTTGTTAAGTGATAAATTATTTTACCATTATAGATTTATTTCTTTGATTACTAATGAGATTGAAAAATACTTCATACCTTCATTGATAACTCAAATTTCTCTGGTTAACTGTAGGTATCGTGTGCTAATTTCTCTACTGAGGATTATACACATTAATTTGTAAGAGCTTGAAGACCTGTAAGCAGCCCAGGGTCAGCACTCTAACAAACCCAGCCCTCTTACTCATGCTGAAAAACAGAGAACAAGATAAGTGAAGGTACACAAAATGGAGCCCTCGTCACCATGTGTACACAAAGAGCACAACAATCTTAGAATTTTATATGAGCATGATGTCAGCACCAAATCCCAATAAGCATTAAAAAACCTGACACAGCAGAAAGTGTATGGTTCTCAAGGAACTAAAGAAAGAGGAGCCAACTGAATTTAATATTACTAGAGGAACAAATAAGAGTGAAAAAATCCAAAGAAAATGGGTTAGAGCAAATAATAGAGATCATCAACAAAGTCAAAATTTGGTTCTTTATAATTTTTATTAAAAAGTGATAAACAGGTGGACATGGTGGTATACATCTGTAATCCCAGTACTCTGAGAGGCTGTGGCAGAAGGATTCCAAGTTTGAGCCCAGTCTGGGTAATTTAGTGAGTTAGCAAGACCTTCTCTCTAAAAATAAAAAAAAGAACAGGACATGCAGCTCAGTATGAAGGCCCTGGGCTCAATCCGTGGTATTACAAAAAAGGTGATAACCCCTCAATAAAAATAAAAATTATTGACACTGGGAATTTATAGCTCCTCTAAATATTAAAGGTATAATAAGGAAATATTAAGAATGATATTCAGTAAATTAAAGTTAAAATAAAATGGAAAAATTTCTTGAGATACATAAAAAAGGATAAACTAGAAAATCTAAATTTGTAATGTCTCTATTTTTGTGGTGCTGAGGCTCAAATTCAGGGCCTTCACCACACTAGGCAAGTGGTCTACTTCTGAGCTGCACTCCCAGCCCTATCTAATATCTATTAAACAACCTGGATTTCTAATTTTCCCACAGAGAGAATTTCTGGCCCATATCAAGAAACATGAAATACCCAGAGTAAGTCTCCCAACCTGCATGCAAGGCCAGCCCATGGGAAGTTGAGGAACAGTGCAGAGGCCCGAGGAGCTCACAGATGCCCTCCCCGCATCTGGGTGCAGACCTACTAGCGCTGGTGCATTCCCCAAATTAATCTGAAGGTACAGCCTGACCCAAGCACAAGCACAAATGGGTAGAACCAGTTTTTCTTGGAGAAACTAACTGGAAACACAGAGGACTTGGCCAGGCTGAAGAACAGTCAGAAGAGCAGAGTGGTGGAACCTGGCTGACTTTGTGCCTGTCCTCAGAGCCATGGCCATCAGGATAGTGGCTGTGGGGCCAGCCAAGCTCAAGGTCAACTCATTAGGGAAGGAAGCCGGGACAGCTGATCATCTGTATGGAAAAATGGGCCCCAACTCCTGTCTCATTACACACACACACACACACACACACACACACACACACACACCAGTGTGGGACACACAACAAACACAGACATTAGACCAGAACCACAGAGCTCCTAAAATAACACAGGAAAACATTTTCATGAACATGGGGAAGGCAGGTTTGAACAGGATAGAATACACTAATCCTAAAGAAAAAACTTGATAAATTAGGGTTTCTTAAAAGATACCAGTAAGAAATGGAAGTAAGCCACAGGCTGGGAAAAAATAATCATAGCACACTGACAAAGAACATAATTTATTATATATAAAGAACTTTCACAAACAATAAAAACATGAACAACAATAAAATGATGAACAACCCAATTTTTAAAACATGGGCAAGACACTTAAACACATATTTTACAAAAAGAGAAAGAATAAGGGCCAGAATACACACAAAAATACATGAGCAGCACTAGGTGTCTTAGTCACTTTCCTCATTACTGGTAAGCAATACTCAATTTAGAGGAGGAGAGGTTTATTTGGCTCATGTTAGAATCCTCAGTCCTTACATAATCGGCCAACTCCAGGCAGAAGTGTCACGGTGGAAGGGGCTGGGCATGGGAAATCTGCTTACCTCAGTGCTGCTAGGAAACAGAGAGAGAAGGGAGGGAGGGAGCTCCACCTTCCAGGTCACAGCCTGGGACCCACCCCTTCTGACCAGGCCCCATTTTCTAACATCACATTTAGCTATAGCAACCCATAAACCAAAGGCCCTGCCTATGTGCACACAGGCTTTAGGAGGACATCGAGAAATAAACCCCTAACTCTTGTCATCAGGGAATGCAAACTAAAACCACACGAGGGGGCCATTTCTCACAGATCAAGATGGTCTCAGCTACAGCCTGACTGCACAGAACAGTGGGGATACGAGAAGCACAACTAGTGGGACTAAAACACCACAGTCACAGAGGAAGCTGCTTGCAGGTCCTGGCACAAGTAAATGTACAACCACCCCATGGCCTGGAAATTCCACTCTCAGCAGATTTTATGCATAATATTTTCTTCCTATTAAAATTAACATCTAAAATGGCTTAGGGCTGGGGATTTAGCTTAGTGGTTCCACCGCTTACCTCACACGTGCAAGGTCTTGTGTTTGATCTCTGGTACCAAACAAACAAACAAACAAACAAAAATAAAATGGCTTAGTAGCAGTTTGCCATATGGACATGCTATAATCCTTGTTTTAAAATGTTTAGTTTGTCTTCCTTTTGGGGTGAAATTTTTGGAGGAGACAAAACACTTCTAGACATTGGTAACAAAGTAAAAGTAGAAAAATGTGATTATCAGCCATGCATGGTAGCACACATCTATAATCCCAGAACTCAGGAGGCTGAGGCAGGAGGATCACTGTGAGTACGAGACCAGCCTGGGCTACATGTGAGTTCCAGGTCAGACTCAACTACACAGTGAGACCCTGTCCTAAAAAAAAAAATTGTGATTATATCAAACTAAGACCTCTCTACACAGTAAAGGAAGCAATCAACAGAAACAAAGTACAGGATGGGAGAAAATGTTTGCAAACTAAATCTGATAATGAATTAATATCCAGAATTACAAGGAATTCAATGCAATAGTAGAAAAATAATAATCTGACTAAAAATGTATAAATGATCTGAAGAGACATTTTTTTAGAAGAAGATATACAAATGGCCAAAATGTATATGAAGAAATGCTCAACACTGCTAATCATCAGGGAAATGCAAATTAGAATCATAATGAGATATCAACTCACTCCAGTAAGAATGGTTATCATCAAAGAGCCTAAAAATAAACAGGCACAGTGGCATATGCCTGTAATCTCCCAGCAATCAGGAGGCTGAGGCAGGAGGATCATGAGTTGAAGGGCAGCCTTAGCTCATAATGAGACCCTGTTTCAAAAGAAAAAAACATAAGCCAAACAAAACAAAAAAGTAAAGGTAACAAGTTCTGGTGAGGATGTGGAGAAAAGGGTACCTTTGAACACAGATAGTAGGAATGTAAATTAGCACAGGCATTATGGAAGGGTCCTTAAAAATTAAACATAGATCTACCACGTGATCCAGCAACTCCACTCCTGGAAATAAAGTCAGTGTGTTAAGAGAT